TGAAGATTGACAGCTTTGGAGACCCTGTGGGCAGTTCCACTCTGTCCTCTAGGGGCGCTGTGGGTCAGAATGGACTCCAGGCAGTGGATGTGGTTTGGGCTTTGCTTCTGTGAAGATTGACAGCCTTAGAGACCCTGTGGGGCAGTTCCACTCTGTCCTCTAGGGGCGCTGTGGGTCAGAATGGATTCCACAGCAATGGGTTTGGTTTTTGGTCTTGAGCAGCCAAGGAGGATGGGAGCCCATACAAGAACTGAAATACAGTTCACAGACACAATGGCTGCAACAGGTTTTGCTGTAAAAGTTTTTATGGCATGTGACCATGAACTATGTTTTTTAAAAACACATCAAATTCCAACTCATGCCAACCCTAAGTGACAGAGCAGAACTACCCCATGGGGTCTCTTAGGCTGTCATCTTCACGGGAGCAGTTCCCCAGGTCTTTCTTCCATGGAGTTGCTGGGTGGGTTCGAACCACCAATCTTCTGGGTAGCATTCGAATGCTTAACTGCTGTGCCACCAGGGGTCCTTAAAATTACGCTACATGATCCCGATTATTAAAAATAAAAAAGTTACATGGGTAACAAGGGGTTATAAGAAATTGTTAACTATGCTGTATGAAAAGTGAATTTACTCTGTAAATCTTCACCCAAATCGTAATTAAAAAAAAAAAAAAAATTATTAACTAGTCTCTGGATGCCAGAATTATGGATAATTTGAGCTTTTTAAAAATAGATGTTCATGTCCTTTCCAGCCATTCAGGAAGCAGTACTTTTTGGTCCCACCAAAAAATAATTTTAAAGCCTGCTTTACTGCACATACTCTGTTAAGAACATGAAAAAAATACACACAAAAATAACAAATCCCATCCCTAATCTGTAACCCCCAGGGCAAGCACTACTAGCGTTCCGCTGTGGTGTTTTGCTCAGTCGTGAGATCACATCTGTGCACAGGTGCACGTGCAAAGGCCCTGGGCCCACAGACGGCTTAGCCCACGAGGTGGGTGAGCTGGTCCACGCGGCTGCAGGGTAGGGGGCGTCTAGACACAAGAAACTGATGCTCAGCACCGCAGAAACGTAAACCCCGCGGGCTGGGTCGTGGGGAGCGATGCTGGGTTGTCACTCGTTAGGCGCATGGCTCTTAGCAAGCTGTGTCCCTCTAGGAGCCCCGGTGGCCCAGTGGTCAAGCGCTCGCCGTGTTGACACCCACGCAGTGGCTCAGTGGGAGAGGCCCGGTGATGCGCTCCCGTGGACACGACAGCCTAGGAAACCCTGCGGGGCAGGCCTACTGTCACACGGGGTCCCGGGGAGCGCGGGTCGCCGAGTCCCCACCGACCGGGCAGCACACGGCTACCCTGCAGGCCCCGCGGGGTTCGCCTCGGTGAAAGCTGGAAAGCACAGAGCACCCGACAGGGAATACGTGCACTTCCGAGCAGGGATCGCCAACCCACCCGAGGAAACCTGGGAGAAGATAAACCAGACAGACGCTCCGATCAACATGGTGCCGCACACAAACGGCCCTGCAGGGCCCGGGTGGGCAGCCCTGGAGCCGGCCGCCGCGAGGGGACGGGGTCGCGCCGTGGGACGTGTCCCGGGCCCGGCGCAGGCTGCGCTCCGCGCACCGAGTCCGCCTCGCCACGGCCCGCGCTCCGGCTCCCCGTCTTCGGTACCGGACCGTCGGCCCCCACAGCCCCGCAAAACAGCGCCCGCTGCGTACCACGGCGGCCGGGTTCCTTCAAACGAGCCCCGGTTACTCAAACAATAACTGGGCGGCGCGCTCGGCCTCAGTGACTTCCACCGCGCGTCCGTGAGCCAGGGGCAGAACGCTCCCTGCAGAAGCCCCAATGTGACAGCACGCGACAGGGCCTCGCCGCGAGCAAAACGGCAGCCGGCGCGGGCCGGCTAGGGGCGGCCGCCGTCACGGCCGCTC